TCTTGCTGCGGCGCACCCGCCGCGAGGCGTGCGTAGTGGTGGAGTTGGGTCGGCACTGGTGCGTCAGTCAGGTACAAAGATGCTGATGCGCGGGCCTCCAGGCCGTCGGTGTAGGCAGCAATGCCCATCTCATCTTTGTGCGCGGAGGCAGATGTCATCAGAAAGGTGGACGGGCACTATGTACACGGCCCTAGGTTTGCTAGAGGGAGCTGTACTGTCTCAGTAACCTGGTTTTGCCATAAAAGGAGGAGGGGACAGGTGGTGACGAGCTGATTGGGCTGGTTGACCCTTCGGCGCGAGAATTTTCAGACCAAGAACCCTAAGTGCAACGAGGGAGAAAGCGAGGAACCGACTGGGAAGGACAGCAACGAGAGCGTGTACGAAGCGGAGCGGGTCGAGTTTGGTCGTGCTAGGACTGGCCACAGCGGCACCGGAGCAGCGGCACCGGAGCAGCGGCACCGGAGCAGTGGAACCGGAGCAGGCGGACGGCATCGATTCGTGGCGCACGGACAAACATCTCTTGTATTGTCAATTATTTTCCCGTGTTTTTTCCTGAATACAGGTGCTGGGTGTGTGTGATGACGTCATTGGTTTTGTAGAGAGACGCGGCAGAGTTGGCGCGGATGACCCGGGTGCCTTAATTGTGTACCTGCATCGTGGAAGACCCCTTCAATGTGGAACGATTCCTAGTCAGTGTCGATGTTTACACTGCTGTGCCTAACACAGATGATCTGGATAGATTCGGGTGATTGTCAATTGCAATGATGGCTTTGGTTGGGCGTTCTTCTTCATTGTATGTCCACGGGCTCATTCTGACAGCACTTCAGACAGCAGCTCCATGCCCCGAGCTTGTGTACCATGCACCATGGTGTTATTATTGTACAGACAGCACTTTAGACAGCAGTACGCTGTAGTCGACAAACATCCATTTTGGTTAATTGCGGGACAAGGGGGGTGATGCTGCTGCTGTAATCGATTTGTAGTGTGTGGGCGTGTAGTTCAGTTGTGAGCACGCAAACGTGCTGCAGGGATTGCAGGTGTACCTCCTCGGGCTTGCGTACCCTTTCCTTGCTAATAGTGTGTGTGTTCTTCAGATCTTCTGATGGCTCTAGCATTTTTGTGACCACGGACCGAGTCTTTGCTAGATTTTGGGATTAGCAACTGACACGAGTTAATGTGAAGAAAAACAACAAACAAACAACCATGTGCAGCCGTCAGTCGTGCAACAGAAGTCGTGGTGTGTCTTTGCTCCGTCACGAATGATCCACTTACTGCGCTTTTCAGCCTTCCATCACCGATGATTGATTTACCTTGTGCATGTCAGCAGGTCGAGATGTATGAATGTATGTCACGTTGCTTCAAAGTGCTCCACTGTAGGACGACAGTTGGTGTGGAATGACGGCGGTCCTTGTGAGCTCATTACAGCAAGCAGTCAGTGTAGGAGTCGCTTCAACCTCTTCTACTACTTCTGTACTACTCTACTACGGCTGTACGAGGAATAGCTCCGTTGCGTATACCACTGCGCCTAGGTACCGTTTCCGTATCATCATGCATACCCTGTCGACTCGCTAAATTACGCTCTCTTTGGCACTCTGTGATGGCCGGGGACACCTTTCCGCTCATAGCCCATCCCTTATTTTCCCCGCGTGGGCCCCTTTCGTTCGACCCCCTTCTGCTCGACAACGGAAGAAGGTGCCCAACGTTCAATGCGGACGGATGCGCGTGGAGACATCAGCAACATACCCGACTACGCGCTATGGCGGGCGCTGCCTCCGGAAAGACGGCGCTGCATGTCTGTGGTTATCAGCTGGTGGTTGTAGCATAATGAATTCCACCAGCATGGCAGGTGTGTTAGACAACCGTTGTGCTTAGCCTTTGGCCACCGTTTTTCTGGTGTTGGGACGTTGAGTTGCTGTTCATCGGAGTCCCGAGAAGGTCACAAATGAGTTTCCATCAATTTCTATGTGTTGTTTGGTGCTCCTTGGTGTCGGTCAGGACTTCGTAAGCACTTGACTACTCACCGTCCTGGCACTTGGAGCAACAGTCGGCTAATCCCTACGCTGGCCCGCGTTGTCTACCCTTAGACTAAATATGCTAGGCAGAGCTGTAAATCAGCGGTAGCCCCTAGGTGACAAAATGGCATGCTGAATATTCAAGTTGCGAAGAGGATGTGTCGTGAGGACAAGTAGGGCGGCTATTCAAGCTAGAGGCCGACCTTTCACAGAAAGGGAGCCTACGTTCAGGTGTCATCTAGTATCTTCGTAGCACGTCCCCAGCACATGCACACCATCATCGGGAAATTGTACAGAGCCTCATTCCCGAACAGCAAGCAGCACTCGGAACCGCCTGACTACAACCGCCGCTCGCTGCAAAAGCTGCTGCTGCTGCTGCTGCTGCTGCTGCTGCTGCTGCTGCTAACAGTGTAAATCATTTTTGACTTTGCGTAAAGGACCGTCAACTTCCTCCTTGTTTTTCTTGACAGCAGTTGTTTCGTGTCAAGTAGCTGTAAAGGCCAGGAGCGAAGGTTCGTCGGCTCAGTAACAAAAATATTGAAACAAGGCACCCCGAGAGGTTTCACGTCCGCACTTCATCTTGACTTCATAATTTTTTGCGGGAGTCCGACTTCCGTCCGTCCGATGTTTGGTGCTCTCATCAGTACGGCGCTCCTTGGTTTTTGGCGTGCGCATGGCGTGTACCCCGGTTCTGGTGGTGGTAGGCGGGTGATGTTCATTTGGGTGGCGCGTGAAGCTGCCTCAACTGCTGTGGAACCATCACTCCAGAAGCCTGTTTTTTCTACCGGCATTGTAGTATTTCTATCGTTCTGCGAGTTTTCGAGGAAAGATATTTCCATATCTGCCGTTGCCGCTGACCATCACCACCCTTTCAACTCGTACGCCGTGTTGACCTGAACGTGTTTTGTGTCCGCTCTGCAGGCAGGTAATCAATGAGCCCGAACCTGGCGCAAGGATGTTGCGATAGGGAGAACCGGATGAGGGGTGTGGGGTGGGTGGGTGGGTTGAGAATTCCGATGCTCTGCTGTCCAAGAAGAACGGGAACCAGCGTTGGTGCATTGGAGAGTTTTCGGCATGCGTCTCTACCGCAGCGCGTGTGCTGTCCTCCACCGAGATAATGCGTGCAGAACATGGGGTATCAATGGTGTCGAGTGTTGCCTGCGTCGCCAGCAGGTGTTTGTGGGTGTCGTTCGAGTGGCCGTTGATGTCTTTGTTGGCAACTGAGCTGCGTTGGCATGGGAGGGGTTTGCTGAACCAACCAAACATGAGGATGGCATGAGTATAGCGAAAATTGGTACGAACACACGTTCGAGAGTCAATTGCAAGCCACGGTGCCCAATATTGCGCACTCGTCGAGCTGTTTGGCATGGTTGGAGCGTCCGGTAACTTGATTCTATTCTTCTTCTCTGGCCGGAGTTTCTGTTGACGCGTGTTGGACACGGGCGCAACGAAAGGAGCTCAACCGACGGAGGAGGCATGCATTGGCCACATTGCCGACGGGAGACGGCCTTCCTGAACCATGCAAAATGTAGTATGCAGCACCTGCTCATGTCAAACTATGCATACAGACGAAAAAAACTGTCGGGATTATCGCGATAGAGCCACAGCGATAACGCATAAAGTGCCCGTGAAGCAATAGTATTGTTGGTGAATAGGGGAGATGGGCAATTACTTATATCTCCCTGGCTGGGTGTGCACCTTTTTGTGAAGCTACGGTTCCTTGGCGTTCCACAATTATATCCTGTTTCCGAATATGTTTTATTTCTCATCAGCAGGAATGCCATTTGCATGAAAAAGCCATGTGGGAAAATTCAGTGTTCGGATGCGAAATGACCCTTCCACTTCTTTTACCAATGAGGTATAACAAATGCGCCCTGGTGGGGACACCGACCTTAGGGAATATTGGTTGGTTTCACACTGCTCTACTGTGAGGTTTTCAACGCCAATCTGTCTCCAGACACCATCCATTACACTCGCATGATTCCCGGCTATCAGAAACAATAATCCGTTTTGAAATCGAAGCATTTCTCGAAGAGATATGCGGCAAAAGGTAAATGTCCCCTCTCTTCTCTTTTTCCTTCCCTCTCGCTCCCTCTCGGGCGCGCGCTGCGCGCGCGCAAAAGTTTTGTATTACGTTGGGCGGCCTTCGGCTGCGGAACAAATTGAAAAGCTGGCCCGGTACGCCAAAAATTTGCCACCCCTATTTACTCCTTCTTCCCTCGCTCCTCGACAAGCTTTTGCTTAGACATGGGTTGTAGTGAAGGGGGGGGTCTTTCTGGCGAGCAGGGCTAGACTCACCCTCAAGGGATGACCGAAACCTTCTTGCTGTTGCGCATCCGCCGCGAGGCGTGCGTGTGGTGGTGGAGTTGGGTCGGCACTGATGGGGTCAGGCGGGAAAATGTAGATGCACGGGCCTTTCTGGCCGTCGGCGTAGGCAGTGATGTCCATCTCATTTTTGTGCGCGGAGGCAGNGCTGCAGGGATTTTTAGGTGTACCTCTTCGGGCTCTTGGATACCTTTTTCTCGTTACATGTGTGCGTATCCTTTAGATCCTCAGATAGCTCTAGCACTTTCGTGACCACGGGCTGAGAGTCTTTTGCTAGATTTTGGCATTTAGCAACTGACATACGGTTTAATGTGAAGACAACAACAACAACAATTTGCACGACGCACTTGCACATGACAACTTGCACGACTCAAACGCCTCCAGAACCACACAACAACCAGAAACCCATTTTCAAACTCAAAATAGCAGCGAAACACCACAGCACATGACCTATGTGACCCCAGTTGGGTCGTCTAGCCAGTAGAAGTGGAGGATAGGGGCCAGAGGGGCAGACGACAGAATCCAATGACGGGAGAAAAAAAACAAAAATGACCACCGCCGACAGGCCGCACAGCATGCGCAACGCAGCAGGCCATACTGCAGACATGTCCCTGAAAAGAACGGTACGTGATGACGAGCATTCAGTTGTCGCCGTAGAGGTAGAGGGCGGCGACGTGTGCATGCGATCAAGCCCAGCCGAAGAACAACGGCAGGAGGGGCAGGAGGGGCAGGAGCAGCAGCAGCAGCAGCAGGGAAAAGGAAGAGAGACCGCAGGAGAAGGAGACGCTCCCGACGAAACTGTGAGATCTTATTTTGATCATGGTTCATAAAAAAAAACGTTCAGACAGCAGGATATTGTTTTGACAAGAGAATACTTCGAGATATATACGGAGTATGTCTGGATGTTGTTTGTATGGAGTTACGTTGTCTTGTCATTATTTGTGGAGATGGTACTGGTATGTGCTGGGCTGCCGTTCCTGCATGTACTGCTGCTATACTGCTGTTGTGCGTGTGGTGGTGGTTTGAGTATACTTGTAGAAGTATTAATCTACAACAGCATCAACGTGGTGATGCTTCTGCGGCTGTGCATACATAATTCACTATCGACGTTTGTATGAGCTTAGGTTGCTCAGGCAACGCAAAACATAATATAGATGTACGACCAAACATTGCTGACCCATCTGCAAGGTCCGTCCGTCCGCTACGTTGGCTGCCCCCGGCATTTTGGGCCGTGTTTTCTGTCCCATAAAGGCGCCACTATTCATGAATGCCGATGTGGATTCGGCGATCATGGCCTTCGCAGGCGATGCGCAGTTCATTTTTCTGAGGCCGGTTGCGCGGTCGTGGCGCGCGTATTTTGATGGGAAAGAATACACCGTGGACTCCCAAGTGGTGACGTCGGTCCCCCGCACGACGGAAGCACTGGACAGCGGGTGGGAAGCGGGTAACAGCGGATGGAAATGTTCCGCTGCGCCGGGGGGCATGGAAGTATTGGAGGTGCTCTTGGAGAGGTCTACCCCATGGGATGGCGAGTGGGAAGAATTCGGCGATAGGAGCGAGTATGACAGGGGTGCGTGCGGCGAGTGGGGGGATTGAATCTTCGCAGCTGATACTGCGAGCGGGAACGATGAAGTTCTGAAGTTGTTGATGGTTGAAGGCTGCAATAAAGACGAGATGGCAGTGAAAAATCCGGGTATGGTCGTGCCCAACGTATAGTAGTCGTCGATGACGCCGTCGAGCTCTGAGCGACCCGGTTGTGGCCTCTCAGGGCTGGACGGATGTGGTATAAAATGTAAACGTTCATCAACCAGCAAATGTCTCGTTGTGTGAACATGTTTGTTTTGTGTTGATGCAGCACTCGTGAGATGGCCATCGCTTTTTTCGTGAGGTTATTCGCCCGATCTGCCACCGCACAAGCTGGACGGTATGATAACTGTATCGGCTGGTGAAGATGTACAGGAGTCCCGAGGAATCTTGGTATCCGTGACACCGCCGACTTGTGAGTGATGCAATGAAGTGCGATACGTGTCTTGGTTATCTTGATTATGTGCGTGAAAGGTGAGTCTTTGATCCTAGTTGCGGCTGAATACGTCAACGATGAGGAATTCGTTCACCAAAGGACCAAGTTGTTGAAATCGGGGTTCCCGTACCAACAACTGTGTTACCCTGTGATTTTATTCTCAGTCGTGCTTTGCATGGCAACGTGCAGCCGGATGCCCTGCCTTGTGGGAAAAGCAATGAAAAATAGTCCATGCCATGTCGTAAGCAGAGATGACGTTTTTCTCGCCGGTAAGTGTCCTGGACATTGCTGCTTAGCCACGTGGAATGACCCCTTGAGCGCGTATCGACGGCCAATATTGCCGCAGAAGGAGCATCAGGTGACGGAAACGCAGAGGAGTTGGATATCGTTCTGGATCGACGCGTAAGGCGACAGGCGTAGAAAAAGAAGAAACAGTTGCTTTTTCGAATTTTGGCGAGTGAACGTTTTCTTACAGATTGATGTATTGCAATGCAGACAGTACACTTCTGATGATATTGTGATCATTGTGTAACCAACCATGCTGATAGCTTTTTTCTTAGGAGGGAAATGAAACAGATATTATTGAAACATGTGTTGTTGTACTTCGTATTGGTATAATATTCATGTAGAGTATGAGACATTAAGTGAAAGTTTCTGAGGTACATCTGCAATTGTCGGAAGGCCAAAAAAAACTACCTGTGTTTGCTTCACTTCGCACGCACCGGTTGCTCGTTGCAGCTGTAAGGCGGCCAAAATACGACGAAACCTGTTGCATAGCCGTCCGTATCTTTGTCATCATGGCTTCATCGAGTTCACCGTAAGTTGGCTTGGCTGAGTGAACGAATTTAGCTGCGTGAAATGAAGCTTTGTGAATCGAGTGAAGTCAGAGAGCTCAATGAAAAGAGTACGCAAGTGAAAAGTTTCGTCGAGTAAATTATGTGAGACTAGTGTGTGCAGGAGTGACTGAGTGTGCATTCTCTGTATTCTGGGGTTGACAGCCCGATGAGCGTGTAATGAAATGACGTCAGTAATGAGGAACGGAATGCCAAACACGGACAGGGGTGTTTAGCCTTCGGACTCTTCTGACCTCCTTGCAGTCCTATGTGCATGGGGACTCACGGTCGAAGTGTTCCCTACTTCTGTGTTATGCAGAGGCGAGCATGGGCCGTTTCATGTGTAAACCCGATCTTTGGCCGGGTTCAGGAGTAGAGTATCATTTTGTGCTTTTCCCCAACGACCACTTCCATGTTATTTTGACGGTCTCATGAAACATATCAGCTTCACTTTCACTCACATTACACATAAAGCTCCCTCCCTGTCCGTCCCCGCCAAAGCTGCCACCTACGGTTTTCAGTCGTTTTCATCTCAAAGAAACGCCCCTCAGTCTGATTCGGTCGTGCGTACTCCAATTGAAACGGAGAGCTTCGATCCGGGGTCGATCCTAGTTCAAACGTGCGCAAGTGCCGCGAGTGACCGAAATATTTCGTACCCTCACCCAACAGAACAGAGACGAGATGCATAAGCGATAAAATGAAAATCACAACCATCACTAGTCTGGCTTCTATCCCCCCAAAAAGAGTGAATATATCCACTAAAATGGCATCCAGACAAAGTCACCCGCCCCGCAGCCCGACATTCTCGGTAGCCTCTTTGTGCTGGTGGAGCGCTAGCGCCATGGAGGATCACAATCAACAAGTGACCAATGTCATATACAATTCCATGTCCATGATATCATGATAGAATCGATACAATGAAAAGAACAAGCAACTCCAGTCTATATAGCTCCTACCCCTAACACAAAAAACAAGAATGAATATATTCAACAAAATGGCATCCAGAAATAATGTCACCCGCCTCGCAGTCCGACATTCTCCGTAGCCTCTTCGTGGCGGGGGAGCGCTGGCGCCATGGAGGATCGCAATCAACAAGTGAACAATGCCATATATTATTCAGTGTCCATGATACCATGGTAGATGGTGGGAGACGACCTCCCCAAACCCCGGTATCACCTCCCGTACCCCGCCGGAGTCTCGGGATTGAGCCATTGTTGTCCTCCCCCCCCCGGCACCTCGCTATTGCCCGAGGTACCTTCAGTCCGCCGCCTTTGCCACGTTGTAGGAAGCGTAGCGTAATGCTAAAAAGGGGATAGTCCTCTCTCCTGTACGGTACGGACGGCGTGGACAAGGGGCGGTGATGAGTGCATTTATTTTGTTATTTTCTGGTTAAATCAACCACGTCTGATCTAAATTGTGCTTTCCCGCTGCAACCACCGGCGGCGTAAGCCCACATGCGGTTGTTAACCTAGAGGTACGCCAGCGTACGCCCACACCGGGGGTAGTACATGGTCAACGGGAGCGTGCGTGTACACAGAGAGAGGGTATACAGCTGCCGGAAAAATACTGCTGCTGTGCCGCTCAAACGGCGAAGGAATTTTTCGGCGTAGGTGTGCTCTGGTGCGTAATGCACCTTAAAAACAAGAGACGTACTGCTGCTGCACTGCTGCAGGTACCGAAAAGTATCCCCCGCGGCACACGAAGGGTCGAGTGTGTGGCAAGGCAAGACTAAAAAAAACAAGGGCGATTCATCCCTATGTAGGAGGCTGCTTGCTGCTGGGGTCGAGAGTAAATGTGCCAATTAAGGACCACCCAAGCCCCCCCCCACTCAGGCAGCTCGTTCTCTGGCGTTACGATGATTTATGAAGAGGTTGGGGTATCGGATGATAGCTTAGAGCACACCCTACCAGCCCAAAAAAGTGGTTTTTGAGAAAAAGTCAAGTGGTGATGGACTATAGCCCTCGAACTATACCTCATTTTCCAGAAAAAAATACGGGAAAAATGACGGTGCCCCTGTTAAGGACCACTTTCGGGTAGTGGCCGATTACGCAGGTTCTAAAGCGTTTCAAGACCTGAAATTTGGCACACGAGCTGGTAATATAATGTAGATTCCATTAAAACAAAAAAAATCGGTCCACACCCACCCGGGGAAAAAATGCCTATATCCCCGGTTTTTCGGCTCCGTTACCGGGGGCAGAAAATACCCCTTTTGGGGGATACCGCGCGTTATTTTGCCATGAAACGCTTCAACCGTCGTATTCTGATGCACGAACGACTTGTGCACATCCTATTCGAAGTCACAGAAAAAAAATTACGACAAACGAGAGCCTACAGACGATGTTATGGCTGTGCAAACATGGGTACGTTCCCCCTTTTTTGACTTGGACGGCAGCAAATATCCGCCTGAAATCTGCGAAGAGTTTAAGCAACCATTTTGCACCCGTATGAACCCCCCACCACACGCCGTTTGACAAGAATGCGCTGAAGGGTGCAGAAAACACGTTGGAAACGAAAAAAAGAAAAACACGCCCAGCCCAGGGGACAAAAGTACAGCATCCCCGGGTTTCTCGACCAACTGTCCCCCCCCCCCCCCCCCCCCCCCCCCCCCCCCCCCCCCCCCCCTGGTGCTGGTTTGACACCCAAATTGGCTGACGCAGCCTCGTAAACTATATTTAACCCTCAACGGACGGAAAATGATTCCACACACTAATTTCAAGCCATTTGTTGCAGACTCTACCCCGATACCGCGTGGTTGTGCACAGCTAACACCCCACGAAAGCACCTACACATCCACTACGGGTGTCGGCTTGTGGGCTCGTCCCGATCGAGATACGGAAGCCGCCGAATACTGACCCCCGGTGATTCCTACCCCTCCCGCCCCTCCCTCCCCTCTCCCACCGCGGCCAGAACCGCCGCCTCCACGCCCGCTATGACGTCCAAGCTCACGTGCGACGTGTGCCCATCCAGCACGAGCACATGGGCTTTTCCGTCGAGCAAGTAGCGGTCGCTGAGCTGCTTGTGGAAGTTCTTGATGTACTCGATGAACACGTCACCACACATGAAGGACGACTCCGTGCAGTCGTAGAACGCACCCGGCGGGCCGTTGAGATCCGCGACCCAATCTCCGTTGAAGCGTTGCCCTTTGAAGATGATGGTAGGGGCCAACACGGCGCCGGCGGCGTTGATGGTGGTGATGATCGTGCAGTTCTCGTGCGAGGTGGAGCGCATCTGGGCGACCACCGGCTGCCCCCGTTCCGCCACGACCCGCTGTCCCTGCGTACCTTGAACTGTGCTACCTGCAATGATTTTTTGCGGCGGCAAAGCGGGAGTAGGGGGGAGGGAGAATCAGTAGGAGATTAAGTACAGGGCACAATAGCGCTTTCACGCACCACCAACGTCCAGCCTAAAATGGGTGGGGGAGCGGGCGGGGAAGAGAACGGCGAACACGGTGGCATGTCCTCACATGCATAATGTACCGGCGCAGCTGCACAGCTGGGGCCATCGCACTAGTCTAGAATACAGCCTTCTCGTCTTGAGCCTCGAGAAAAAAAAGTCCACACATGGGCCACTGCTAGTAGTATAGCAGCAGCAGCAGCAGCAGCAGCAGCGGCAGCAGCACCGCGACAAGCTTCTCCTTCCCACACATCAATTCCGTGTGTGTGCTGCGTAAAAATCATGGCTGTGTCGCCCAGGTGTCAGAATGGGGTTTTGAGTCGTTTGGGGGCCGCCTATGGAGTGCGCGCGCGCTGGATTTTCGAGTACCCACTTTTGTCCGAGAATGGCGTGGGTGTGCTAATAATAAAAACACACACGGACATCAATTTGAGAACAGTAATTAATTCAGGGGTCGGGCTGACAGGCGGTGTTATTCAACGTGCGCAGAACCCAGGCGGGGAAACAAAAAGGACCCATCTAAAACAGTTTTTTTGCGAAAAAAAAACTCCGCTATCGCTCCGGTTTTTTTTTCGCACGCGCGCTTCGCGCGCGGAAAAAACTCTTATAAAGTGTAATTCCGGCCGTTTACATGTCCTCATGATTACATCAGGATAGAGCCAAATATCTGAACGGTTTGCATACTCCCGGTCCTGGTGTTCATGCAAAAAGTATGATGTGTCCGGCCGCGCGCCACGAATTTTCGACTGTTCATACTTGTAGTTGCCGCCGTAGGAACACATCCCGCACCCTGCGGCCCGCTCCTAACACAACTACCAGCTACCAGCTTACGGCAGTACACACACACGATGTCCGAAGAGGAGGGGTTTACTGAGCAGCAGCGCCAGCTGCACGCTCAGGCCGCAGCATGGTTGCAAGAGAGAAACGTGATCGAGTTGATGACTCAGTTGGAGGAAGCTGAGGAGGAGATGGGCCGTCTGGGTGATGATGATGAAGCGGCGTATGCGCTGTCAAAACAGATGGGGGCCTTGGGGCAGCAGGCAGAGGCTGGCCTCCAGGAGATCCTTGCGATTGCGCAGTCGGTGCCTGAGAGTCCGGGCGAGAGAGCCTTCCGTCACACGCAGCTTGTGTCTGTGAATAAGCTTAGGAGGTTTCTACCCACGGTAGGGAAGGGGATGAGCGAAGCAAACGACGCCGCTTCTAACAACAGACGACAGATGGTCCATGCCGAGGGGGCTACCACTACCTCTGTACTCGACCCTGGCATGGGGGTATCTGCTCGTTCAGGCAGCACACAGGCTTTGACAAGGAGGAGTTCGACCAATTCTATGCGGAGCTGGGAGGTGATGGGGGTTTGCTGTTCGGGGAGTGTCGTAACCATCAAGGGGTGTACACAGAGGACGAAAATATGGCGCGTAGGCGGATACGGGGGACAATGGGATACCGCGACCGCGCTCTCTGCTGGCTGATGATGTTGCGCCAGGACTTCTGCTTCCACACCATGGAGGATTTGTGGGGGCCTTCGGCAGCCACATTCCAACGGGACTTTGTGTGGATGACCACGCAGGCTACAACGCTGGAACTTCTCAACGATGTGAGAGAAAAATTGTCAACTGCTGCCGACCGCGCTAACCGGCTGACCAATTAAAAGACGTCAGTGCCAGCGGGTAAAAATCAAGGTCCATGGAAGGGGGCCAAAATTCGAAAAATGCGCAATGCGCTTGATGCGAA